AGAAAAGAAAAGAAAAGAAAATCAAACCGGCTGCAGTTTGCAAATGATTTTTGCATTGTATCTAAATTGCTATCCAGAGAAAGTAACGTACGAAAAGAGTCCGGAAACTCTGTTTGCAGAAAGAAAAGCAGGAAGTGGAAGCAATTTACTTGAGAAACCATGCACCTGCAGAAATAAAACCGCCCGTGGAAACCTAGCATTTGACATTTCATTAAAAATCCATTTAGCCAAAAACAACAAAGACACAGGATATGATGTCTTAAAGACAAGTCACCCATTCAATTCAGTGATTACGAAATAACGAGACATATTGTTTTCAGTTTTGTTTTTTGTTTTTTTTTCATGGTTTGCAGACGGACTGGAATTGATACGTTGTCTCCTTCAGAACTAATTAGTTCTGCCTCGCCGTCCACACGAAGGCCAATGTTTACATTTGAATCATTTCCACTTTGAAAAGTGTTTTCATTGATAGAAATATTGTAAACCTTTCGCGCGCATGAAGGCCAAAACAAGACAACAGGATCAGACATTGTTGTGAAACAAAACCAAATCACGGCCAATGCGTGAGCGAGTTTGAAAAAAAATGTGAAGCTACGTTTTGAACACTGACTTCTTCTGAACTTCCGTTCAGCTACACATACAGATCTTTGTGAGTAAGGTGCGCAAAAAACTTTGAAAATTTACCTGTACGTGTCAAACACAGCACACGTACTTTTTAACCATTGTTGACTGCTGGAAGTTAAACAGGGGCTTTTCTATTTCCCCAGTTTTTCCTAGTCTCCTTCCCAGCCAGAATTAGGGTCGTAACGCAACGCTTTAGCGGGGAGAAGCGTCGCATAACGACCATAACGATGGCTGCAAAGGTCTTTCCCTAATCATGAATAGTAAAGAAGTGCTGCAATCAATCGAATGTTGACTAACTCACTGGCGACTCAGCTGAAGGCCATGGAGATGCGCTTTGGATATGGTATCCCCTGGGTGGGTAGGGTGCCAGAGGCTTTTCATGCGCGGTTTCCGTCAGGTCTTTATATGGTGACTCGCCGCCACGTAAAGGAGAAAAAAATTCCGCCGCATGAACGAGACAAAGACGTCTGCATAGTACACAGGATAATAAAGCTCAGATCACTGCGCCACAGTTACCAAGCTCTGGGCTCACAGTGGCCTATTTAGCAACCAAGGGAGCATGGTGGTTTATTTAGACGGAACAAGAGTTATTGTTGGATTATTTTAAGGGAATTAGTAGGGAGCCTTTAATATTGACAGGGATCTTTGCTCAAGAAAATGACTGAATTTATCAGTGGCGAACAATTAGAGCATCCCATCTAAGAAGCCTCACCTTCTGGAAGATACTTGCGCTCTACAAAGTTTCCCTGATTTGTGAGGATGAACACCAGTTGCTTGAATCTCGAGGGTTGAACTCATCTCGTGTAATGCATACGTGAAAAATACTCAGACATCAGCTGAACAAGTCAATTCCCAACACACGTTTATTTGTTATATAATTTTCTACAGTTGTTTCTCAGAAAAAATAATAATAATAAAAAAAAAAACTGACAGGACCTACTGACAAAAGATAAATTGTCAATATCATTTTAGCTTCAAATTTGCACTTTCCTATTTTTCTATCTTCTACAGGTCAGTCTAAAGTTGCTATGTCAGTTTTCTTCTCACTGCACCAGGATGTAACCCATGGCTTTGATGAATTTCTCTCCATTATCAGTCGAGTGCTTTGCCACGTTTCCACACGCGTTGGAGTCATCGGGAGTCCCTCCTGTACCAAACCCGATTCTGGAGTCGCAAGAGGTACAGTCATTTTCGTTGTTACCAACAATTCCGATTCTGGCTTTAGAATAGGAATTAGAAGACGTACTCACAACATTGAA